CTTTTTTTAAAAATCATTTAATTAATTTATGGCTGCATTGGGTCTTCACCGTTGGGTCTTCGTCGCCGTGTGCAGGCTTTGTCTAGTTGCGGCGAACAGGGGCTACTCTTTGTTGCGGTGCATGGGCTTCTCATTGCGGTGGCTTCTCGTTGCGGAGCACGGGCTCTAGGCACGCGGGCTTCAGCAGTTGTGGCACTCGGGCTCAGTAGTTGTGGCTCGCGGGCTCCAGAGCGCAGGCTCAGTAGTTGCGCTGCACAGGCTTAGTTGCTCCGCGGCATGTGGGATCTTCCTGGACCAGGGCTCGAACCCGTGTCCCCTGCATTGGCAGGCAGATTCTTAACCACTGAGCCACCAAGGAAGTCCCTCTCCAGCTTTTTCTTTAAGACTTACAATCAGAAATACATTTCAACCCAGGACACACACACACTTATAGACAACAGAAGGAAAAGTTCCATTTATATGTGACATGCATTCCGATATTTTTCCATTTTTAACGGTACAATGCTGGTTACGACCCACTAAATTGCTTTCGTGACACATTAATGGGTACCACTCCACAATCTAAAAGTCATCAGATTTGATGATCTCAAAAGGACATGACTGGTTTCCACTTCTGGGTTCAAAAGCAGGATAGGCAGCCGTCCTCTTCATCTGCTTGTTCCTCCACAACAGCCTTCCCTGGGCATGACTGGCCGGGGGGAGTTTGTGGGGAGGGGTCTCCGGCACCGGCTTGTTAGCGGCATTCCCGGCCTGATGCCCATTAGACAACGTGTGTGTGCAGAGTGATAATGGGTTGCCCTAGCTCCGTCCCATCCTGCACCTGCCCCCAGCCCTGAGCTGCTACTCCCCTGGATGTTCAGCGAGGAGGAAGGAGAGGGAAGCTGGGGAGGCAGGAAGGTAGCACCAAGGTTACCGCAGGGTAACGCAGGCAAGGGCGATGGCCAGGGGAGCCTGTGAAGGGGAGGCTTCAGACATCCCCCCATCCCCCCCAATGCCTCGCTGGCTCCTGCTGCTAACAGCCCCGCTGGGAGGGCAGGTGTGGCTGGAGTGGCCCCGGGCTGTCTAATTGTGCCTGGTACTCAGCTGCGGAGGGCCGTGTCCACTGTGGGGATCCTCAAGGAGGTGCCTGGGCTTGGAGGGGGGCCTCCCACGCCAGGGCGGGACTGCCGAGAGGGGAGAGGCGAGGCTTGCGGGGGCCCTGGGAGAAAGCACCTCTCCCCCTTGGTGAGCAGGCTCAGCTCAGGGGCCCACTTCCCAGGGGTCCGGTGGGGACTTGCTAGGGAGACACGGTCCCAGGCCTTGCCACTGTCTGTGCCTTGTCCCACAAGCCCTGACGGCAGTGCTTGGCAGGAAAACAGTTGTTGACACAGCGCAAAACTCATTGCAACTTCCACCCCTCCGATCCTTCCTGCGCAGAGAGAACCTAACTCCCTCTTCAGGGTCCTGGAAGACCTTAGTCTTCCCTGTTTACAAGGTGCTTTGAGCACAGCTGTGTATACATATTTAGCCACTGTTGTGACACTAAATAAGTGCATTAAATAACTGTGATGATTTTATAACATCTGTAACTTTCTTTTTCACACTATGTAGCGTCTATTTAATGGAATTCTTGTGGCTCGGTGTGAACTATTTCAGTGGTAGGGAGTAGAAGGCATTCCTCTCTCCCTCCCTCCCTCCCTCCCTCCCTTCCTCCCTTCCTTCCTTCCTTCTTTCCTTCCTCCCTCCCTCCCTCCCTTCCTTCCTTCCCCAAAGAACAAATTCAGCGGTTATATTTTAAAAGAGGTAGATCTTTTGCTAAGAATTGTTCTCTGCTGCTTTATGAGATTTCCGCTTCCTTTAGAAAGTGACACCTCAGATTCTGTGGCCTGATTGCAAACAGTGAGGAAATCTAGATTAAGGTATCACTCATTGTATCAGAGCCAGAATCAGGAGTGGACTTTGTGGGTTAAGCAAGAGGGAATGGGAGCCTTTAGCCCTTCTCCTTCATGTGTATAGACGTTGGGTTAGAGAAGAAACACTTCCAGGTATTCCTTCAACCCCTGCTCAGAGACGGCACTACCCAGTGCCTGGGACATTAGGACTGAATGGGAATAGAACAGGTGGCTCTCACTGGAGTCTAATTTTCTGATTGTAAAATAAGCCAGACTACGAAACACCTTAATAAAAAAAATGCAGTCCTGTTTGTTGTTTCTGTTGTTCTGTTTACCAGGTCTTTCTATTAACCAGAATATCTGCACGTTTACATTGATGGGTTGATGTTTGGGATGATTTCTCTAGCACTGTAAAAATCTTGACTGATTCCAGATAATTTAAAAATATATATATTCTCTTCAGCAAAGTTTCACTGTAAAGGAAAACCTGTTGCTTCTCTTTAATCTTTTGAAAATTCCTCACACCTTGCCCCAGATCTGTGCTTCAGTAGTGACTCACGATATTTCAAAACCTCAACCTTATTCCCAAAGCACAGTCTTCATAAATAAGAGGTTGTCTCCAGCACCCTCCACAGCGACAACGAGCTTTATCAGAAGTGAGGACTGGGGATGATTAACAATAGGAATATTTTCAGTCTGGTGGAAGAACACTAAATGCACAGTGTTCCCTTTGCTATATAATAAGGGGCTTCGTTTACTGATTGCTAAAATCGCCAAGATGTAATCATTCTCTCATGTTGTGAGTCAGGAGCTTGCATTCTCCTGCGGAGGGTGTTCATTCCCAACTCCCGCCCTCCTCGCCCCACTGCCCCAAAGCACTTGAGTTAATTCTCCTTAAATGAGTCAGCCTTGTTGGGTGGTTTTCAAATACTTCCATTCTGGAGCTTCCTGAGCCAAAATAGAAACTTTTTTTTCTTTTAGCATTAAAGCTCAAGCCACCCTATATATTAAATTTTAAATTGATGAGTTCTGACATAATCCACGAAATGATGAGTTTCAACTCAGGAAACAAAGATCTCGTTGTTTGTTCTTCTCTCATCCAAACCATCAGAGAATATGAATGTGTGGCATCTCAGTGCTCCCAGAGCTCTTCTAAGGGCAAAGGAAATTCCAGAAAACAAGCTCCAAAGCAAAGAGAGGAATCAACAGAGGAATAAAACTGCTGACCCAGGCACCTGAATTGGTCAGTCTTTATCTGTGTGGTCTCCTTCTCTCGAGACCTTTCCCTCCCATTCTAGGAGGCAATCAGGGGCCTGCTGGTGGCATGTTCCACCCAACACATGCCACTTGGCGAGACCAATGGGAGTTGTTGGGCTCCTGTCTGCTGAGAGAGAACAATGAAGTCACTGGAAGAGAGATAAGCGGCCTCCCAGCCCCGGGGAGAAGTTGCCGGACCTTTTGGAGGAATGATAGTGCGGCCGCCACATTCTTTGTCATCTGCTTGCCCTGCCATTGGCGGTGGGACCCAAGGACCCAGCAGAGAAGGATAACGGGGAAAGCCATATTCTTGTGAAAATAGCTTCTGCTCTCCGGAGTTTTCTAGTCCACACCAACTCTGTTTCGGATTTAAGATTGAATTAGCTTCGTTAGTAGTATAAATAAGAGTGCTAATAGCTTTGCTTCGTTCAGAGTGACTGATGGCATGCCTCCCAATGAGCTAATGGCTTTCATCACATTCCACTCTAGGTCCTCAGCATCTGATCCAGGAGGCACCTATTTTTGTTGTGGATTTTCCAGAATAATCCTTCCAAAGTTCCCAGATTGTATGTCCTGACTTGGGGGTTCAGAAAGCATGTGCACTATTACCTGTGTACCCTTCATCCCTTCCCGTTTGGTAATCAGTCTGATTTCAAAACCCCAAGTGTGCTGGCTTTCTCACGCCTCCAGAGAGATTCTGGAACAGAGAGATTTCCCTGGCAAGAAGGGAGAAGAGGAAGGGACACTAAGTAAGCACCTACTATGCTCCAGGAGCTTATCTCCCAGGAACCTCAGAGGGTGGCCATTACTATCCCACTTTACAGGGGAAGAAACTGAGGTCAGAGATGCAGGAGCCAATAGCTGGCAAAGCTGGGAATTGAACACAGCACATTCAGACTGCAACGCTCTCCTCACCAAAATGTGCTGTTTTTCAGCAGAACAGCTGAGCACCTGGTTGCTTTCTCACTGTCCTGTGAACGTTCCTTCTGACTCCCTGACCAAAATATATACCCAGTGAGGGCAGCAGCCAAGCCTCTGCTGACCAATTAACTAACTCCTATAAGTTATGAAAGTTAAAAACCAATTAGAGCAGCCACTTTGCTTCTGCGAGGACTTGGTTTCCGACCACTGCTAGCTTCCCGCTCTGACTCCCATCACACCCAGGAAATTTGGGACGTGGCGCCAACAAAAGCTGCCTCTCTCAATACACTCTGCTGTTGTAATAACAAACCATAAAATTAACTAAATTTCACCACGGTGTAATGTGCAGCATAAAAGCGGTAGCAGTGTGTCTGCAGGGCAAGGGAACATTCCATTGAAATCAGTTTCTCTTTATTGCATTGCCAACAGTTAACAATTTCTCCCCTCTAAAGGCAGGGAGAACAGCATGAGCAAAAAGAATGGACAGCTGCAAGTGTGCTGCAGCTACCTGCACATGTATGCAGCCATGGGCGATGTGGAAAGAGAAAGTGATGAGGGTCACGTGCACATGTTCTCTCTCTCTCACACACACACACACACACACACACACACACACACACACACACGCTTTCCATGTCCACACATGTCCCCTGGCTGTGGAAGCACATATGACTGTGCAATGAACGCCCAGAGGCACATGCAGAAATACACAGCTGAAACAGTACATACACACCTGTGATGTACACATCATACTTGCTCAACACAGGTGTACAAATGGACAGCCCTATGCAGAGGGATGAGTTTTATTCTCTTTTCAAAAGGTCACCAGTCACCACCTTGGAGAATTCCGCAATTAGCTGCACCCCAGTAGTAGCAAGTTCGGCCCATTTTCCAAGTAACAATGTTTAAAAGCCGGAATGCTCTCTTCCTGACCTATTGCTAAGAAAAGACAGCCAAGGCAGCTTCCACGGTTTCGGCAGGCTTGGCTTGATCCAAAATGACACAACCAGGGCTGTTTAGCAGAGAGCAGAAAACAATGAGCCTCGGGGATACGAGCTCTGCTTGGAACATATTTCCAGGAGGGGTAAACGTGCCTTTGCTCACTAAAGGGGCTTCCCTTGCACTTTGCGGGAAAACAGAAAGCTCTGCCAGCAGCTGCATGAGTCTGCGGCTGATAGGATCTGCCTTTGATGAGTTCACAGGGTCAGGAAGTTCTCCTGACTATCTGCCCGAAGTCCTTCCTGGCGCAGTTTAAGTCCATTTCCTCTCGTGGGGAGGGAAAACATCTGCTCATCACACAGTCTATGTATACACTGTAGAAACCTGTTACTTCTCCACCTCTCAAATGGCTAGGTCCTCTCTGAAAGTCACAAACACCTTCAGCCGCCACTCGTCTTACATCCCAGCTGTGCACTGTGGCGAGGGCAAGTTCTTCAAACGTCCCATGTCTGGTCTGCAAGGACCACAGGATTGAAGGCTACTGTGTGCCTTGGGGAAAGAGCACTGAACTGGGATTCAGGAGGGCTGGCTCCACGCCAGTTGTGCTACCAGCCCAGGAGCCTGGACAGATTCAAATTCCTCTCGGCCTCTAAATGAAGCAGAGAGCCTTTAGTGGGTCAGGGAGGCCCCTTCAAACGCTGTGACCCCCAAATGTTTTGAAATCCACTGGCAAAAGGCAGTTGTCGATCCCCCTTTTATGGAAAACAGCATAAAAAAAGAGAGAGAGAGAATACCTTCTGATGGTGTCAAAGCCAGCCAGCTATTAAGTCTGGATGAAATGTAACTGTTAAGAACGACTTGCTCCACGCTTTCAGGACAAATTGTCTTAAAAATGCTGCCAGTGCAGTAATCACTCAGATATCTACACAGTGATTAACATCCTCACCTCCAAATCACATGAGGATGTTCTATAGACAGTCAGATATCCTTTTAGTCTAGCCGTGGAATGTCTCATAATGTTCAACATTCAACAAATAATTCCATAGTGACCACACTGTAAATACTGGGGCATGGGGGACATTCTGGCTCTGGGAAGACAACGCTGAATAAGATCTGCTCTTAGATAAAAACTGCGGAAACTGGTGACCCCAGCTACCCACTTCCCTCATCTGGCACTCAGCTCCCATCCTCTGGACAAGAAAATAGTTCTTTTCTTCCCCAAGAAGACACATTTCTGGGCCCCAAACAGCATCCTAAAGTGCCACTTGGATGTTGGGCTGTCCACATGCCAAACGAGGGAGGAAGGATGGCTCACATCACTGTTCTCCGAATGACAGTGACCACACATCGCTGTTTTCCATTGCCAGACCACTTCCCGGGGCTGCAATGACTGAAGAGGAGAAATGGAAACCCAGGGATCCTTCCATGATGAGACATGGCTTCCCCCATTTAGAATGTCGAGACGCCCAGGAAAGAGCAGGACCCACACGGGCTCTGTTCTGGTGCAGGTGATTACTCAGCTAGTAAAGACAGAGTGAGTGGCATCCTTGCCATGTCATAGACCAGACAAACTGAGACACAGTGAGAGAAAGTGATTAACACCTGGAATCACAGAATGTTAAAGCTGGGCTAGAGGTTGGGAATCTCCTACCCACACAATACTCTGTAAGTGAAAATTCTGAGGTCAGAAATATAACTTATTCTCTACTGCCCAATCCCCAATCTGAAGTGTCCTATGTCCAAAAAACATGAACATTTATCTCATGAAATAGTTTCTCAGCTTACACTTAATATCAGTTCTCAATCACGTACTCCACAGCTCAACTTTCCATGTTTTGTCCCGTGAAAAGATCTGTTTTACTAAAACCATTGAACTAGAGATTCCTTCCATTCTTCCTTTCACAAACATTTATTGTGTACATACCATATGCAAGGCATTGAAAGAAAAGGAAAAAGTGTTCCATCTTGTGAAAAGCCGCAATTATGAATGTATTTGCTCACATATAAATAAATAAACCTTAATAATATAGCTCTCCTCTCCCTCTCTCTCTCCCCCTTTGTCTCTCCCCTCCACCCCACCCCCACTTTGGATACAATAATTGGAACTGATTAGACCTGAGTTTTCCATCTTTTTAGGTTAGGACAGAACACTCAAGGGCCCCTACACTTGGTCTGGGTGTTGAATTACATTCCATGCCTGCATTCAGGACTTACTGGGACAGGACTAGCGCCTCCAGTGATTCTTATCTGAAAGGACCTAGCATAGAAGCTGAACCTAATAATGAAGTCTTTTCACCAAAGACCCTGTAGTGTACAAGCACATCATATATGATAAACAACACGGACAAGAACTGGAAATACTCAGCTCCTCTGCCTGGCTAGAGCAGCGGAACGGTGATCGAATGGAATTCCGGACCCTACAGATGCCAGGGGGATTTTTTCACTCCCTAGGTCTTGTCCACAACTTTTGCTCTTAACCACCTCCACAGTGAGTCTGTAGTACAGCTAAGATTGAGAACTCAGTGGATTCCATTCAGAGCCTTTAGTGGCCTGGTTGAGCTTAAAGGGTTGAGCATCCAAGGAAAGTCACACCACACACTTTCTCTCTCACCTATCTTCACTATATTAATGAATCAAAATTGGCTAAAAATGAATTTCATGGACTGGTCTGAAGGGAAGAAAGAAGAAGGAGAGATGATGCTAAGAAGCCCATATGGAAAGAGCAGAGGGCACTGTTGCTAGGCAACCAAACTGGTCCACCAGAGAAGGGATGTAGAAGAGCCTCAGATAGTTCTGAGCATCAGCTGGTGGGACCTCCAGGTTCTTCTTCACTGTCTATCTCCCTGTCCCTGTCTCCACAACAGGTGACCTACTGATTGACTGTACTCCAAGGACAGCTCTGCTCAGTGAAGAGAGGCAGAAAAGAGGGGCATAAAGAAGCATGGGAGGGATATGCATAAAATGGATAAGTAATAAGAACCTGCTGTATAAAAAAATAAATAAAATACAATTCAAAAATTGATAATAATAAAAAAAAAAGAAGCATGGGAGGAGACAGAAGAGATGGGAAGGCACACCAAAGAATCAAGAAATTGAAAGCAATAAAAGATCTCTTCCATAGTATCACCCCTTCAGTGATACTTCACCCAGTTTTCTGCCCAGGTTCGTAACTCATTCTGCAGAATCCACGGTAGTTGCACACAGACAGCGAGATCCAGTCTTGGAGGAAGTGGTAGGACATATCAAGGAGCACGAGGATAAGTCCGTGCGAAGGACGAGACAGCAGGTGTCTGAGTGCTGTGTGTAAGTTGTCTTTGGAATATGTCACACATTTTCTCAGCAGTTTTGCTGCTTTGCCTGCACTTCTTATTTTCCATGTGTGTCTCTTTGAAGAAAGACAGTTCATATTGGGTAGGGACTCAACCCTAGCCAGGGCCCCTCCGCTGAGACAATGGCTGTTAAGTGTTGGTAGAACCCACATCCCTCATCAGCACCGAATTACATCTGAGCACAACTGGGCATTAATTTACCAGCACTGGACAAGTCACTGGAATGGAAAGGACACAACAACAACATGAAGCTCTCTCTAATCAGGCCTCGGGTCCTGCAGCCTTTAACATGCCATGTATTTCACTTAATCTGAGGCACCAATTGTACGGTACAACACTGTAATTTTACATATTACTAAGAAAGGAAAAAATGCTGGCAATTAATACTAGTGCAACACATTGATTGTAAGATGTATTCTGTTCGGAGATGTTAAAACGTGAAGGAAAATGTGTGTCTTAAAACTGTTAAAATACAGTAAAATCTAAAGCCCTGAAGATGGCATTCAAGCCCTTTGCAGAATGGTCCCAATCAACAGTCCAGCCTCAGGCCCTGGTCCCCCTTGGAGGACCAGTGCTCCAGCCAGATTTTCCTTCATTCATTCACATGCTCACCCCCGCTTGGTTCTGGGTCTGGTTGATGCTGCTTCTTTTGCCTGGAAGGCAGCCTCTCGGCCCAGCTTCGCACGTGCCTGGGCCAGTCCTCACACTTTGATTCATTTTCATTATGGCCCTGACGCCATCCCTCACAGCACAGTTCTGGGGATTCCAGGGTCTGGTCCTTTTTCTGGCTTATGAGCTCCTTGAGGAAGATCAACCAACCACAGTTAACATTTACTGAGTATTTACTACGTGCCAGATAATACAAGCATTTACTATATACATTTTACACGCAAGTGGGTGCTGTTGTTATCTAATGAGGGAGACAAGATGTAAATGGTAACACTGCCAAATTCACATAAGCTATCGACTAAATATATCACTTCGTCAAAATGGGATTCTTGGAACCCAGGTCTGGGTGACACCATTGCCCCATTTGTAATCATTTGCGTCTTAGTGGCCTGAGCCTCAGCATCATGTAGGCATGAAGGAATCCTCAGTAAATGCATGTGGCATGAATGAATGAATCCATCCATCGTGGATTTGTTCCTCTGGCATCGATGTGGCTTTGAGGAAACCAGCTAGTCTTGCTCTGCCCCTTACTGTCCCTCTTCCCCATAACATCAGAAAAATCGTTCCTGCCATTAAGGAATTTATGATTATAAATAGGACAAAGCCTTTAAGACGTTACTGAAAGCTAAAGAAAAAGGCAACTCGATGAAAATAGTAACACGGATCAAGGTACGAATAACGACGCCAATAATAACAATGGAATTCACAAGCCATCGTAATATACTTAGGCAAACAAAGGTTCTGTGAATATAATGAGTTACAAACAGAGTCATCTTGGCTACAAAATAAGAAGCTTCTGTGATTGTTGCTGTTATTATAAATTAAGCCGGGCTTTAAAATTTCATGCTATCGACGAGTGTGGGTTTTAATACACTTGAGAGCACAACGAAAGCAAGACTCCCGCTTCCTATTTCTCAGGTTCAGGGATTTGGGGGCACAGATGCAAGGCCAGCATTCCT